TGTTCGGCTCGGCTCGGCTCGGCGCGGCCCACCCGCTTACCTCGGACGGAATATCCTCAAGTTCGCTGTAATTAAAGGGGGTGGGCGATAAGACGCGGGATCCCTCCTAATGGTCTCTCACTCGTGAGTTCGGTGTACACATTCACGCTGCTCCGGTAACAGGGACGAGACCGCCAGGCGTTAAGTACCAGCCGCTCCGGAGCGCGCACAGTTGTTGAAGTTTGTCGCGGGAGCGCGCGCTGCGCGAATCTCGCATCGTGGGTCCGAATATTTCAAACAAGTGAATGCATGCACACGCGTCCACTGCACACCCGCTTCCCTACTTTATTATTGTTTGGGTGATTTTTGACTAAACTGGTTATGGATTAATACATAAATAATCCGAATCAGGAATCAGGAAACATTTATTACCATAATATGTCAGACATACAAGGGATTTGTACGACAAAACAACAGTGCAAGAGGACTCTGGTACAATCTAATACAATATAATGCTACGGGTTAGTAACATGAGGCCATCGGCCCATGACATCTGGTATATGCACCACTTTAAACCTGCATTGCCCCAAGAGAATAAGGGTTTCCACTCAGCGGTGATTTTTATGGTTAATTCCTTTTTGCATTTTGTATTTTTTCTTTGCTTCTCAAATGTACAACTAATGCATGAGTTTACGCCTATTCTAATAAACATATCTGGAGACAAAAAGATTGGTTAAGAAAAAACAGATTAAGAAAAGCAAAGGCGCCTTCACATATCTGTGAGAAAGGCATTTAGAATTTGCACAGATATCCTCATTTTGCGTTTTACACACTTGCAGTTGCTCAGCGCTCGAGAATGAGGCCGTGCGATTCTGTCTCCACGCTTAAACATGTAACTGGGTGAGATTAGATTAAGAGGTCATGCTGCTTCCTCCATAGTAATCTGAACATAAGGGAGTCCCGTCCCCCCCCAACGACGACCAACACCACTGCCCCCATCGGAGGGATTGGAGGAGAGGAGGGGGGGGGGTTGGGAGTGGCTACCCGGTCTGGATTACAGAGAGAGGGATCGGTTATGTAAGTGCATCGTCCCAGCAGCCCTCGGGCCGAGCGGGCGAGACTCACGGCAAAGAAGGGCGAATGTCTCCGGGACTGCGAGTGTACTTCTCACTGCAATCGCGTGCTGACGCTGGCGGCCTCCACAGGATGTGACCGGATCATTTTGGTAATCCCTTGACATTCATCATGTTACCATGACATTATACTATTTTGATGAGATGAAAAAGCAAAACGGATAGACGAATGGAACAATGGAATAGTGCTGATGAAGCTCATATTTTTTTAAAAAGGCAGAATTATATCTCTAATTTTGAATGAACGGGAGTCGTCCAGTTAGGGGTGAAGGAAACCCACTTCCTGCTGGGGATGAGATGATGAGGAAAACATCTGAAACCACAGGGGGGGAGAGGAGCTAGGAGGGGCCGGGGGAAGGAAGGCAGGGGAAGGTGGAGAGAATGCCGAGCCGCGGTTGGTGTGCCGCTGGACCTGGAATGTCCCATCAGGCGTTACAACACACATGTTGTCGATGATAAGAAGAAGACGACCACGAGAGGGGTTTGAGGAAAGGGGAAGTGTGGAAGGGGGGGTGGTCGAGGGCGACAGTCTGAAGCGGGAGGCAAGGAGGAGCGAACGAGGGGAAGGAAGCGAGGATGCAGACGTGATGGATGCAAGGGAGAGGTTAGGAAGAAAATGAAGGAGAGAGCGAGCAGGAAGAGGGAGGAGCAGGCGGCTCATCGGCGAATTCCTGACTTAAAGTTGTTTGGCAGCAGCTTCCACCCGAAATAATGCAAATTGCCAGCTGCGGGTTTCTCAGGATTTCTCGTTGGGGGCTTGTGTGCTGTTGAGATTCTCGTGCAAAACACTTACGGGGGCTGTTTTTTTAACCTCCTTCCGTTAAACTCCAGTTCAAATCTCAATAATCAAATTTGGTGTCTTCATTCTGACGACGGTTTAACCTTTTATCACATAGACGCTCGTATAACTTCCTGGATTGGCATATTTTGCCTTTTCTCAGTGACACTCTGGTCTATTGCAATTATGCCAGAGTCCAAAATTCACAAAAAGGCTCCTAACAAGAGCGAGTCAAGAAGCGGTTATTTGTTTGGTTGAGGAAACTCTGCCACTCTTGGTAACTATGTGATTAACAAAGCTAGTCATTAATTCATGGCCTGCGGGGCGGTGATCCAATGACACGTGGAGCACAAGCCGCATTGTCCGTGTCTTTACAACCGTTGCGTCCAGACGCGTGCATGACACACACACACACACACACACACACACACACGGGATCACGGAGCAACAAAATAAAAGACAAGGAACCGATTCAGAAAAAAAACAAAAACCCCAGGGCAGCAGTGTCACAGACAGGACTTGGGCCTCGTCAAGTGTGCAAAAGCCACAACTCTGTGATCAGGCCGCAGTATTTTTCCTCATTTTATGCTCAGAAGTGGTGGCAGGAGGCACGATCACATCCACGAGCCCCGGCGGACTCTTGTTTTTGCCGGAATGTCTGACGGAGAAAAAGATGACGGACGTCACGGCATTGAGAAAACACGTGTCAGACTTATTTGAATGTCTTAATAGGAAATAGTATATGTCGTCATCCTAGTAATGGTTGCTTTTACAAAAAGACATTTAAGGCTTTGCACAAAATTACATTCAAATCACTTGAAAAATGAATTAAAAGGAATAAAAATAAAAACATTTTCAAATTATATTTGCCAAAATACAGAACAGCTAAAAGGATTTGATACAAAAGCACTTGTTTAAGAGTGCTGTAGTCGAGGGCTTTGATGCAAATAACTCCTGGGCTAATCGATGCTGCTGTCACAGCTGATCCGTATGGTTTGCGCTGCACACAAATGCTTCTTGCTGCTACAAGAAGTCATCACTTCTTGTTGCAAACTAGACTTCCTGGCCGGAATTACCCCCATTGCAATCTCTCTGGCTGAAGCAGACCGGCACGACTTTGTATCTGGAATGTCTTCCCCCCCCCCCTCTGGATTCACATGCATGTTGGCGTCGCTCTGCCCCGAAAACCACGAGCCCACCTGCGTGTCCATTTGGGCCGCTTTTGTAATTCCGCTCCAGCTCTGCGGGGTCAGCAGACGAGGGTTTCTTATGCCTTAGGAGAGAGACAACCGTCCACATGAAGCAATAGCATGAGAGCTTGGATCTCAAACATGGAGGATCGTGAAAAACAGTGCATCCGTCTGGCATACAGGCCGCCGCGCACGTTTGCATGGAGGCAAAGCGCCTGGACGGCGTTGCTTCTACTCTAAAGCTCCTCCAGGAAGTGAACCACTACGCTTGTAAACATGAACCCAACCGTGAACACTCATTTGATGAGATGTTTTCGAAATACTATATGTTGAAATAATCAACTGACCATGCAAGCTTTATATTTCACTTGCAATATAAAGCAAAGTGTTTTTGTAGTGCGGCCTTTGCACACTAGGCAGATGGTTGGAGGCCCGGGTGGAGCTGAGCGTTTCCTGATCAACCGCCACGTTAAAGCGAATGACCACGCAGGGGAGCCACGGAAGGTTCCGTTTTTTTTTCCAATACCAGATTTGCAAATAGAAGCAACGTGGGGGTTTAAGAGGTTAGGGGTGCGTAACACGTCCCGTCGTCACAAATCCATTGCATTTAAAGTTTCATTGCTTGGGGTCTCGGCTGACTTGTTATCGGGTTTACGGGAGAGCGGCATGAAGTATGTGGAACATCTTCCCAAGTTTGGGACAAAGATTAAAGGCCGCAAAACGCTTTTTAAAGGCGACGTCTACAACGAGGAAAACCACCGTTTAAAGTCAAAAGCGGATCTTTCCAATTCTTCACGAAAACACGACCCTCGTAAAAACCAACCACACGAGAGAATGCAAAACTGTAAAGGCAGTTATTCAACGGCCTCTGCCACTGTAAAGAAAAGGCATCCTCTGTCCTCTGCACTATAAACATTGCTTACACAGGTGGGCCGTGTCATGCATCTAGTTCAGTGACAGTGCTCGTAAAAGAGCTCTAAAAGATGAAATTATTAAGTCACGTTCCTCATAAATCTTTTTTTCTTGAGAGTTGTAGTACCAATGAAATGCTCATGAATGGTAACGGCACTGATGGTGCACGAGCAAAACGCCACTGCAATGGTCACGTCTCACTGCACACTGCCCCCTAGTGAACAACCTGCAGTAGTGACTCTCGGACCCGTCGTGCCAACAAAGCATTTGACCCCTGCCCCCCTCACTCAGTCAACATGCACCACAAACTACTAGAAATACTGTCAAAATAATCAATACCGGAAGGATTCTTCCAAAACGGTCCTTAGAAAAAGGCCCCATGGGCTTCCACCGGGTTAAACACACGTGGCAGCGGAAGCAAACACCGCTGCACAAAGTCTACAAGAGATGCTGGAGAGAAGCTTGTGGAATTGTTTGTGGTTATCTGCCATTCTCTTGCCTCGAGAGAATGGCAATGACGACGCCCCCGAGTCCGGGACGCCGTCCCGTTCAAAATAGAGCCATCCATTTCGGGAGTGCGGAGGCAATAAACGTTCAAGGCAGTTATTCACGTCAATACAGACAAGACAACCCTAAATGTGAAACCAAAGACAAATCACGGCCCAAACAGCACGGGGGGGGGGTCGCCTTTCATTCCCTCCCGCAGCCAAATGCTTCCATATGAATCTGCGAGCTGGCAGTCGGTCTGGTCGACCCCTTCAGGCCAGGCGGATATAACTCAACAACGATGGCCATGGGTTAAGTTGAGTTAAAAACTCAACTTTTGAGTTAGTAGTATTATTATTATTATAAAAACATGAGTAAAAAAAGTCAACGTCACACTGCCAGCACCTTATGGGAGCATGTCAAACACTATGTATTGTCCAGGAGTGGAAAGGAAGCGCACCCAAAACTACAAAACATTTTAAAAGGGTTACAAGAATGAATTAGAGAAACAAAACACAAAAGTTTGATTGGAACTGCGGTTTTTATTTCCTTTTTCCCCACATACACAAAACCATATGTGCACGGTAGCAGAAAAAAACCCAACTTGAATTTACAAAAAAGTAAAACTGATATACACAAAATAATTATATTACAAACAAAAAAAAAAAGAAAAATCCTTCAGTGAGCCTTACAACAACATAGCAAGTACAAACAAATTTGACTTTTAGACACCTTATAAAATGTTTGTGCAGAGACTCTTTTTCTTACAAATGGGTTTACATTACAAACCTCTGATGCACAACAAATACGCTGCACCACGCGTTCTCTGGGTGTACGAGGGTAAAAAAAAAAAAAAACCCACCAAGATCTCTGCGGGTCCATCAATGAAAGTGGACTGAGTTCAGCCATTTAACACAAAATATGTATCATGACAGTACCGGTTGTCGTCTTTGCACGATTTTCTTCTGGCCTAAATACACAAATTATTTCAAATTCAGGTGAATCATAACTCAAACTGATAGGATACATCCAAACTCTTGTAGTGTGGCGCTTGCAGGCGTATTACCTGAAGCATGAGGCGGAAAACTCGGGAGCAAAACGCACAGGGTCAACGTCGACCACAACTGGAACCAGCGCGGCTTCAAATCCACTTCCGGATCGCGGCAGCAGATCCAGATTCAGCAGCTTCTCAGAGATCATCTTCAAGACAGCAGCAGCACGGAGGGGCCAGATGACCTCCGACGGCGGGGGTCGGGACGTCACAGTGATGGTCCTCAGACGCCGTACCCAGAAGGGAAATGTGTCTGGGGTCCAAACTGAACTTTTTGGGGGGGTTTCTGTCCAACATGAGCCGATAAAGCTCGTGACACACGCTTCAAAAACAAGCGTAACTCTGGCTGACTGCTGAAACCGCTCACTGACAAATGGAGTTGAAAAAGTTTGGCCCGGCCCATCGGGGGAACGTAACGAGTGCAGAACTAATACGCGGAACCAATAAATAGCTCACAGCTTTGGAGTCTGATGGAAACGAGGCTTTGACCACTGCTGTTGGTCCACAACATTTTCTCCCTGTGCTCGGCCCACATTGAAGGAACCAAAAACACTCTGTTGCTCGACGATTATGGCATTTTTTTTTTTTTTAAGATTTTGAGTTTCTGGACGTGTTGTTCATCCAACTTTAAAAGCCAAAAAAACGAGGGCGAGAAAAACATCCGCCGAGGAAAAAAAAAAAAAGACCTTTTGTCGATAGCAGCTGATGTGACTTTTGAAAAAAATCAAAAACTTCCCCATGACCGTCAGGTGGGAAGAAACGGTGAAACAAATTGTTTTATGCCGACAGGTGTGTTCATCCCAGCAGCAGCCCCGACAGGGCGTTCAGGTCTCTCATGTACGGGTTGTCGCAGAGGATGCGGTCGATCCGCTGCTTCTGGTCGGGGAAGATGTCGTACAGCTTCCCCTTCAGCTCCGTCGTCTCCGCCGGCGACCGCTGGGGCGGGGGCGAGGGCGAGGGCGAGGGGGACGGGGAGCGGCGGGGCGGGAACCATTCGGGGCCGCCGGAGTGGGACCACTGCGTGGCGGGGCGGGGCGTCGGGGAGGGAGGCGGCCGGTGGGTGGAGGCGGGGGGGCGGGCGGCGGAGTGGAGCGCCGGGCCGCGAACCGGCTGCTGGGGGGGAGGCCGGAAGTCTGAGGGCCTCAGAGGTGGAGGGGAGACTGGAGCCCTCCTGACAGGGGGATAGATATAGAAGTGAGGAGCACGGCCAGAACAACAACAACAACAACAACTCAGGTCATCGCATCATCAAGCACGTGACATGGCGGCGGCGGGACGGAGACGTACCGCGGGTTTCCTCTCGGCTCCGACGCAGAGACATGTGCAGGCGAAGCCCACCGGTCGTCCCTACGCAGGAAGACGTTAAGGTGGGGTCCGTTTTTCCCCAGAGGGTCGTCGGGGATCATGAAGTGGTCCTCCACGAAAGTAAACGGAAGCAACCTGCCGGTGGAAAAGGACAAGAGATTTCAGGTAAACGCGAGAGTTTTTCGCAAATGGTGATTGTTTTCCCAACGGAAAATATTTCTGAGCGGGAAATACGTTCATCTGAACTCGTCTATTAACAGCTACAGTATTTGTTTTGCAGGAAGACGTCCCGCTCGGCGGTGTCGTTTATCGCAACCATCGAAAATTTTAAAAAGAAGCGTCGCACCACATAACCTTGCAGTATATCGTTAAATGACACATAAAATAACCCTTTTTGTCAGCGTCGTTGAAGATGCACACTACCCGAGTGGCTTAACGTGGGAATAATTGGCCCCTTGAAAAACAATGAAACAACAAAAAAAGCAAAGAACAGCTGTGTAAAGCCCACATTTACCTACCAAACCTTCCGTGCTGAGAGCTTTGCAAGTACACTGCGGTGACTCAAGTGCAGTTCATAAACATCTATCTAATTGATAAGTCATTCAAATGTGTACAGTACTTTTCACTGTAAAAGCTTTTTTGGGTCCAAGAAAGTAAACTGAACCACGACGTCGGTGTCAATCAACTGTCCCACAAACATTCCCTGTCGTTTACTTCCTCAGATGTTAAATAAAAATGAACTAAATTATAGCTCGGATTGAATATTTCGCCTTTGATTCGAAATCCAACTAAAGTCAATGTTAATCTGCTCCCTGGATTCTGTTTGTTCTTCCTTCACGCGCAACAAGAATGTTAGTAAAAAGCAAATAGACGAGTCGGCGGATTCTCCAGTGGCTTGTTGGGAAATGGGAGCGGCGGACTGGACACACAGCAGTCGATCACCTCTCTTGAATGATCTTGCGCCAGGTGTCCGAGGTGTCGACAAAGTCCCTCAGGTTGTCATTGGTTACGATGATCCCGTCCGTTTTTTCTGCTAGGTGGAGCAGGAACCTGACGGAGAGAGAGAGAGAGAGAGAGAGAGAGAGAGAGTCCAGAAAACACGTGACATATTACATATTATGTCAGAACAGACACATTTGCAAATCAACTCGAAGGCGCTGAGGAGATCCGGCTTTCAAAAGTCATTGCAAAACTTCATATGAAATCATACGACACCGCTTTTGCACTTGACGATGATCTGTCGAATCCGTCCGCTAGTTAACGAGGTTACTCGTGTCTACTGTGAAAGTATAGTGATGGGTGGACGTACGGGACCCAGAGTTGTACACTAGCAAGATAAATACAAGGGGAAATGCCCAAAGATGGCAGAGCAGGTGTAGAGGAACCCGCTCGGCTCGACGCCGCGTGGATTTAAAAGGACCCTCTCCTCTAAGAAGTCTGATTTAATCCAAGCTTTAAGAAAAGTGTGTGTGTGTGTACCTGTCGTCATGTGAGGATATCCTCTGGCCACACACCTCTCTGGAGGGAGTGAAGGAGAGCAGTCTCAGGTCCTCTAGCTGGTTTAGAAAATGTTGCTCTGTAATAGGATAACAACAACTCTATTAATGTTACACCGTGGTAAAAATGGCAGAGGAAGAACACCCAAACACAATTTGCTTGGATCGTGGCCGCCCTCGTGTGGCCGGTTCGAAGAATGACGCGCCACGGCGCAAAGAGTCGTGGGCGGCGAGCCAGGCACGGGCGTACCTGTTGTGGAGCGGTCTCTTTTCTGACGCCACTGGGGGACGAAGACGGTGATCTCCCTGTGGCCGAGCCTCCAAAAGGTTTCCACTGCCAGCGCGATTCCCCGACAGGAGAAGAAGCGATGAAGGCCGTGGCTGGAGAGAGGAGGAGGAGGAGGAGGAGGAGAGGCAGATAGCATGAGGCGAGCTGTGAGAAAGCGACGAAAGTGACGAAGCCGCAAGAGAAACCAAATGATGCTTATTGATGCAAAATTAAGAACATCGGGGGGGGGAAAAAAACAAAACACAGCAGGTCAGCACCGAGGCAAAGGCTGGTTTCAGCCGGCTCCCCTGCAGCAGCCAAACAGACGCACTGCACGTCAACGGCAACAATCTGGGTCAGCTGCGGCGGCGCGAGGTGGAGGGTGGCGCACGTCACTAAGCGGTCTGCGCAACAAAATGAGTTGCCGCAAAACAAAACAAAAAACAGCAGCAGCTGCGGCGAGAAAGCCCCCCGAGGTCAGGCCAAGCAGGAAGCCACGAAAGCTCAAACAGTGACGTCCTCACTTGGGTTTGTTTACAAGCGGAGAGACGCGATGCACTTTATCTGATTGTCTCCGATGTGTGCGATTGTGTGTTAAAAGGCGGCGTCTGCCCAATTGCGACGCCTCTAAGCCCTCCCATCTTTCTGACAGTGATCGAGTGCAACTTGAGGGGAAACGGGGCAGAGCGATGTGCACGCTGGAGAGAAGTCAAAACTCGTGCCGGAGGAGGATTTGATGGATTTTCTCAGAGAAATGATTACAAAAACTGTTCCGAGGGGTCAACATGTCGCCCACCGTGAACGGAGCTTCTGTCGTTTCCTTTCGTTTTTTTCCGTTGTCATGTGCATTTCTGCCAGTTATGTCACTTCTTCTTTATGCAACTTCCCTTTCGCTCCCGGTTACTAACTCGATTACCGATTCGGCCGCACGTGAGCGGCCGTGAAGCAGAGACCCACAGCGGACATTCTGCTTCCGACACGAAAATATTTAACAAGTCTCCAGCGGTGTGACGCAAGTCGGGAACCCCTCAGCACCTGCAACCGATGCATTGTGTGACGTCACCACACACGCATTACAAAGTGGCCCTGGGTTGAAGACAGATTAGACATCAGCAGCGTAAAACAAACCATCATTCTCAAGACTCCAATGTGGAAATGTTTTTACTAGAAAAGGGCCGTTCTTCACAAAAACAGCACACACACACACACGCACGATGAGTAACAAAGTTGTGTGAATCCGTGGGTGGAGTTTTGGTGCGCCCACACAAAAAGGGGTCATAGCTGTGACCCACGCACCACACCCCGGTATGACTAAAAGTGTGTGTGTGTGACCTCAACTGAGGAGAGTGGCGGCGTTGATGGGAAAGGCGGCGGCGGCGGCGGCTTCGTGTGCAAAAGGAACGAGGCTGCGTGCGCTACCGGTTTGGTATTACATGTGTCATCGAAAGCACGACACGTGTGCACTATTTCATATCCATGTCACACCGACGTGACTCAAACCGAAGAAAAACTCCATCGCGCAGTTTGCTGAAGCAGAACACAAGCTGCGGACAGCTGTTGTAAACACACACACACACACACACACACACACACACGCACACGCACACGCACAAGCAGGTGGTGCCGACTTACGCCATGGCCACGTTGCTGCCGTCTATGATGACGTGTCGGAGCTCCTGACGTCCCGGCTCATTTGGCAACTTCAGACTGTAAGGAGTCCGCAGCGACTGATGGAAACGAGCGAAGCCGGTCACCGGGGCGACGGGGGGGTCGTTGGCAGGGGGGGCCCTGGCTCCGACCCCGTGGGACCCCGTGTGGCTGATGGTCTGATAGGCGGAGGCCGGCGGCCGGGAGGAGGGCTGAGCTGACTGAGGAGGAGAGTAGAAGAAAAAAAAACTCACTCGTGAAATAACTGGTGAGTCACGACATGAAATCACAACAAAGTTTAAGATCTCATTTCCAGCACTGTGACGCAAAACATGAGTGGGACGGAGTGTCACACAATATACACAATATACACTGCCCTACAAGTCTGGCTGTTTTCACCAAGTGTGTATCATGTAAATACAAGTTTCTCTACAAGAAGAAAATGACTAATCAGCAGGAATGTAAGCTGATCCATCGGGAAGTCCAACAACGGATTTGTTAAACTCTCTTTTAAAGACTTTCCCAGGCAACATATTTAAATACATGTATAAAAGATGTACAAAATTACACTTTTATTGTCGCAAATTTACATTTGAAGAGATGAAAAAGTGAACGAAAACCCACTATTGGGTGGCCGGGAGGAGAATACCTACACTGGGGGTCGAAGTCAAGGAGTTGGCGTTGGCCGTGAACCACTGAGGCGTGCTGCGCAGCGCCGTCACCGCCTCGACTTTCACCGCTCCCCCCAAAGTCTGCGTCCCGCCCCTCGACAAGAAGTCCCTCTGGGAGACGCCGCCGCCCCCTCCCCGCGCAAAGTAGTCCGTCCTGGATCCAGACTGGCCGTCCGGGTGGGGCGCGAGGGTCGTCACGCGCGACGGCCGACTGTCCGCTGCTCTGCTGTTCGCGAGGACGACGCCGTCGTCGTCGTCCTCGTCGTCGATGGTGATCACCTCGTAGCGTCCTGCTCCTCCCTGAGCACTGGAGCTCCGCTTGATGGCGACGGCCTGAAACGAGACGGGGGCGCGAGATCGTTCAGGGAGCAAAGTGGAGCGCAGGGTAACTAACAACATTAGGTTATTTTATCTGATATCAGCCGAAATGGATCATGCGGAGAAGCAAAAATAAAAAATAAATGTTACACTTGAAGGACACCTGAAGGACTTAAAAATGGAGATCAGGTGTTTTGTTTGAAAAGTTACCTGCTGAGTGCTGGTCTCACTGCCGCTGCACTGCCTGCGGTGCCCCAGACCGTTGCTGCTGCTGCTGCTGCTGCCTCCGCGCTGGTTGGGCTTGATGTTCTCCTTAGATCGGCCCTGGTCAGCCGATGCTCTGCTCAGCTCGCGCTCCTTCTCTTTGAACCGAGCGACCAAGGAAGAGGAGGACGACGAAGACAACAACGGCGATGAGGAGGAGGAGGGAGTGTCAGGAGAGCGCACAGAGTTCAGTCGCCTCTCCTTTTCCCCGCCGTTTGAGCCCTCCGTACAACGCTGGGTCTCCTCAACGATTCTCTCCAGAACGAGGAAGGTATCTTCCGTCTGTCCCGTCTCCTTGACGACGCGCTCCACCACTGCCTGCTCGTAACCCATAGTTCTAAAAAAAACAAAAGAAATGTTCTAAAAGGCATTAAAATACGGGTGGATGAAATCCAGCGTTCTGATTGGATGAGAGTGAGTCACAGCGGTGCCTTATTGAGCGACCGTTAGTTGACAAAAAAAGACCGTAAATCCCAACAAATGATCGGTTTCGGGCAATGTGGAGCTTCCGCAAACCGGACAATTAGGGTGGACGTCATCGGCCATGAGAATTAATGAGATGCGGCGAGATCTTGCAAGGAGACCCAACGCTGTTTACACGTACAGGGACTCTTTTTTCCTCCAGGCTACTGAAATGCGATGCACAACGTTTGGTGGCGAACGCCATTTTGTGCTGAAAGGGCCGCTACTTACCTACGCTTTTAGAATTTTGCTGCGCGTCGGCCCCAACAACACCCATGAACCGATACATTATTGGACGATAAAAGTACAGCTTTACTGCTTAATGATGTATTAATGAAGAACTCCTATTCGCTCGTTTACCTGAAGAAGTTGACCAAGCAGCGGAGGTTGGTTTCCGGGCTAACGGCCTCCCCGTCATCCGAGGCTCCTTCGCTCGCGTCCAGCATGATCACGCCGGCCACGGCGTTCGCTTTCCCCGAGGAGGAGGAGGACGAGGAGGAGGAGGAAGAGGAGGAGAGGGAGGAAGACGTGGAGGGGGTTTTGGATCTGCAGCCGCCGCCGCCGCCGCGGCCCTCTCTGTCCCGCTGTCGCTCTCTCGCCCGCTCCGGCGACTCGTCCCGGCGCTCCAGGGAGTACTGTCTCTTTGTGTCGCGCGGCTCGCTCTCGGACGAGCGCCGCTTGTGCGAGGGCCGGGTGCCGTTGAGCGGGGCGCCCTCGGGACCCGAGGCCGTCGCTCCTCCCACTTTGCCGCCGCCGCCCCCTTTCTCCTCGAAGCTGGTGCCGAGGATTTGGTTGGAGAGCTCCGTCACGGGGGTGCTGCTCTGCGAGCGGTCCTGGTCGATCTCGGCCGCAGTCGGGAGCGGCGTCTGGTCGAGCGGAAACCATCATGACTTCCCTTTCAAACTTAAAATGTAAAACTTTGGCAGTGAAGCCAAAAAAAGTGGAGTGTATATACGTATTGGGACACGTGTACATGTAGTAAATCATACTACATCAACCGTAAGGGCTTCTGAAGCTCGACACAGCGGTTAATGATGTACTGCAATAAACGGTGTTAAGAAATTGTGTTTAAATGGAATCCACTGACCCGGGAGGATGAGAGTGCGGTCGTGGGGCTGTGAGCCAGCCCCAGCAGCTCTTCCTTCAGGGCACTGGGCAGCAGAAGAAGCTCCATCGTGTACTTGTCATCCCTTTCCTCCACAAAGGACTTGAACGCCCGCTTCACGGCGGGCTCCCTCTCGCTCGGCAGACTCTGCTTTTCCTGGATGCGTCACAAACGAGAGTTTCAGGAGGACGAGGCGAGTTCTTCGGGCGAGCGCCGGATTAATAATGTAGACGAACCCCCCCCTCCGTGCACCTAAAAGAAATCTCCTTCCCACAAGCCACCGTGCGGTAAACCCACTTACCTGGAACAGCGCTACAAATTGCTGCACCCGGCTCTGGGCCATCACTACGGGCTCAGCCCGGCCCAGCAGGCGCAGGCGGCCCGGCTCAGGCACCACGACTTCGGCGCTCGTGTCCCGCATGAGCCTGTCCAGGAAGAGGCCGCGGGCTCCAGCAAAAATGCAGTGCATGTCCGCTGGGTACCGCTCTTCTTTCCGTAGCTCTGGGTCACAGAGTCCTCGAACATATTCCTGCACGACAAGGAGAGCGACATGCTAGGAATGCGCACGCGCACACATGACTGCGTTTGCTTTTTGCAGCTCAATGAACGAAGCACACGATCGCTGGTAGTGATAACCCCGGTGACGTGGGAGGCTTCTGCAGTCATTTTGGTGACACACCCTGCTAGACGAAAGAAAAAGAAATAGCAGAGATGTCGGCGAGATTTGGAATTAATCACGTTAGTCTAAATTAAATACTTTTATTTACAGGAATAGCGGCAACAGTCGCTTGTACTTGTTCATGAGCACACAAACTCCCACGCAACTCGCTGCAGAGCCGTTGCGCTGACAGACGGCGAAACTAAACACTCGTCATTGATTCAGGGAATCTCGCGACTAAGGGAAATGTTCGGATGAATCAGCTGCAGGCGGGTGCGGTTACTTCCTAGCAGATACTGTGATGGTAAACATATGTTATAACGTTGCCTTGTGCTAAAACCTGCGTCTCAAGTGCCTGTGTTTGACGCTGATGTGCAAAAGCAGAAAGGATTTGAGGTTTCCATATGAAAAAAAAAAAGGGAGTTAACAGGCGCTCGTACAAAAGGAGCACTTTGTGTTGCCCTCTTAATCTTAACCTTGGTTCTTATCTCGACTTGGTTTGCCTCCTGCTTGCAAGCAATAAATGGACTTTTTGCAACTCCGATCATTCATCAATGTTTTTTATTAGATAAACATTGAAAGAATTCATTCTCTTCTCCCGAATAAGTTTTGTTGAAATATTCCACAACAATACTGTCACATTTATTTAGCATTAATGTGCAAGAAAAAAAAAGAAAAGAAACTGAGAATGAATGTAAAATGACTCAACAAAATATAGAAAGGACGTCAGACTGAAAAGGGAACCAGAATTGTTGCTGAAATAAAACTATTAATGGAAATCTGTTTTTTTTAATTTAGTTCAATTCAATTAGAGATTTAGTTATTAAGTTATTTTATTTTTCTTTTTAAAATGAGTGGTTTAAAGTGGATGTGGCGGTGACCACCGGGAGCGGATTCCACTGCAGAGATGTTTTCACATTATATGACTCAGTTGCACAAGGAAAACTTTGAGTAGCCTTGACGCAACAAAGGCCTGTCGGGATAATCGATTTATATGAAAACGAGTGTGATTATTATTTTGTTTGCGGGCTACATTAGATTGATTTTAAATATATAAAGGATTGTCACAAATGACAGAGCCAATAGAAAGGTGTTCAAAAACAGTGGCAACGAAAAGAGGCAACGCGTCGAACTCAAAATCTCACCTAAAACACGACCGTCCCACTTTCACCAGAAACGCCGCCCTGCACGCCTTTCCAGTGAACACATTTTCTCGATCCCTACTGTATCGCCCCCCACGCCCGAAGTACAAACATCTGTGCTGGCATGCGGAGACGCCCACTGGTCACCTCCACATCAAGGGAGACGAGATAACGTCGTCATTCAGGACCAAAGGAGACGGAGAAGACACCTAGGTCAATAAAATCTCACAACGCTAGTCCCTGCAGTTGGCTTTGGGGAATCCTTCCGTTATTTAGGGGAAATTTTATTTGGATATTAAAGTATGAAAAGCAAATACATGGCTGCCCGCCGTGGATACATTTTCCAATCAACCTAAATACAAGCAGTCACAAAGTGTACTCCACCACAAGAAAGATTGGCCATTGTGACCGTGACTTAAACAGGCGACCCCCCCCCCGCCCCATATGTCTCCGGTTGACTAGCAGAGCTCGGAACAGCTGGTTACAGGGGAAGCAACTAAACAGACCCATGACACAAGATGCAGAAGTGTGACAGACGCATGGGAAATCACACAGGGATCGGCGAACGCCACAGATGCCAACAGGCACTTTGCATATACAAATCTCAAAAATGCGTCGCGGGCCCCAGGTGCTTCTTTTTAAAAAATGGACTTTGGGCGTGACGGCGACTTTTAGTGTCAGTTGATGGGATTCGGTCCCACTCGGCACGGCTTCACTAGGACGGAGGCCACATCGTGCTGCAGATATCAAAAGTAGGAGAGCCCTTCCGGGGGATCTGAGATGGTCTTGGGGAAATTAATAAATGCAGTGCATTCATTCCTCGGTGACACACTAAAGGAATTGCGTTGCACCCAGAGGTACACCACCTCTCCCATTGGCGTCCACGTGACCCCAAACCCTGTAAGATTGTGGTCAGCGGCGGGAAAGTATTCCTTTGGAAATCAGGGTTGTGCAAGCGCAACACACGGTGCTGGCCACTGAACACAAAGACACAATTGCCCGTGGGTGTGACACCATTTGGTGGCTTCTTTGCCAACCGATCCAACGTCAGACATATTTGACGTGACGTCATAAAGTACTGCGGATGTGGGCTAAAGAGGAAGAGGCAGTCGGCGTTGAACTTTATCTCTTAGTTGCTACAACAACCACAACAACAACAACACCCTTTATCGAGACACACCCGTTGCGTGGGCCAAACAACACTGGTTATCCGGTCGACAACGACCCCCGTTTGTCGCGGCGGGAAACGGCTCAACGCGACCTCACCTTTGCCTTCGACACGTCGTCCCCGGTTCCCCGCAGCTGCAGCCATATCTGCCGCGGCGTTTTGCTGCCGTGCGGCGGCCCCGCGTGGTCCAGCAGGCCGATGATGGTGAACGTCACTTTGAAAACCTGCTCCACTCGAGCCGTGGCGCACGTCAGCTCGTCTTGCTTCGCCTCCGGCACCGTGAACTCGTCCACGGTGAGGGCCTCCCGCTGCTGCCGCTGCCGCCGCCCCGCCGCCGCCGCCGCGGGGAGCCCGCCGGCCGGCTGCTCGGCGCACGTTAGCTCGGCGACTCGCCTCATTCCGAGCAAAGGCCGCGTTGTTGACATTCCGCCCCGCGGCCCCGCCGTCGCGCCGGGGACCGACGCCTCAACACTCGAACCCGTCGGGGCGCTTGGGCGCCGTCGGGGTGTTCATGGTCTCCGTCGGTGCGTCCTCCGCAGCAACCAGGCGACGTTTACGGCGCCTAGCGACATGAACAACAGGGGTAGCGCTTAGCTTAGGAACTCGGAAGCCCCGAATGACGTATCCGGAAAGTCCCAGTGATGGCGTCATCAAAACCCGACGTTTGTTCTCCCCGGTTTCATATCTCCCGAGTACTCGGATCTTTTGCGTAAAACTGCAAGAAAGTTTTGCCTTTGACATTTGACTAAAGTAAGAGCACACGAGATTAGCGTGACGATATACTAAATTAAAGTACTGCCTGTATTGGATTATGATTGTTGATGCGATTAAAGTGTAGCCTACATTAATCTCAACGTGGAATGTAACTAGTTACCAAAATGCAGTTGTGTAAAATGAATATAATATTTATAAAAAAAATATAAATATATATAAAATTGAACTATGTAAAGTAGACTACCTCAAAACAAAGCATAGTACTTGAATAAATGTAGCCTACTTAGTTACTTTCCATCACTGTTGATCTGCCGATATGTTGTAGGCTACAAACAAAAAAATCAAAACACGACACGCAGATTCGCCTATATTCTTAATAAGATTATTTTCAAAAGCAAATGAGAATTATATCCGTAATAGTGTGCGCGTGCACTAAATGTTTACTCTACTAAACTCGACTGGTCTCGCCGGCACGCGGCGCCAAAAAAGTAAAGGGTCCCCCTTTGAGAATTATCGCATTACCTTTAAGCGCTTTTCTACTTTCAGAAGGCCGGCCACCAGGTGTAAAACACCGTGGAAACAAACCCCACGCTGCACTGCTGGTCATAACAGACTAAGTTAAGCTCATCATACATGAGCGTACTGAACTCTGAAGTCACTTACCTTTAAAGAAAAGGTAGAAGGGGGAGTGAAACCATGCGGTTGCCAGGCTGGTAAGGGCCATCCCACACGTTTCATTCAGTCAGGTACATAATATCACAAAAGGGCGAAAACAAATGAATAATTTGCTTCGAAAAACCACATCCTCCGCTAAGCACCGTCAGAGTTCATCACACCAACTGCACCTACACTTACAGTAGGCCGACACACAGAAGTCTCACCCACCTCGTGACGCCCTTACAACCGTTGGAACATTTGACCCTGCTGGCTTGAAATCTAGTATGCATTTCTGGGAAGTTCACCCCGCTCGTGGAACAATGCCGAGGTACAAGAACATTGAAAATGTGCAGCAGGTAGAATAGAAGGCACAGCAGGTGTATGTCCGAAGTGAAGTATTTTATACAGTTTTTACCAACTCCTTACACACAAAATATTTTCATGTCACACGATTTCTGAAACCTCCGACTCAAAGTGCAAAACTACATGCCAAATCTTCAAAACCATAAGCTATTTCTCAGCCTCTGACTCAGTTTTCAACTGCATGAAACACTCTTTTCAAAACACACTACGCACAATTCTCTACCTGAAACACATAGATCCATCCGGAAGTGACTTGCATTCATTTTCCATCCAAATGCTACACTTATTCACCAGGTCACACAGACACACTCATGTGCAAACACTACATGCTTAACTGATCACTAACTAATCACTGCTTTAGTGGGCCTATAAATAGGGACATTTGATGCAAATGCTTCATTCTGACATGTGTTCGTGGCATTTTGAGTGCAGCGTTGCATTTTGAAGGAGATGTGAGGCATTTTGCATTTTGTGTGTGCAGTTTTGAGAATTGTGTGTAGAGTTTTGAAAAAAGGAGACTTAGTTTTGAAAAAGTGTGTAAGCAGCTGGTAAAAGCTGTAATAGATTCAAGCTTTCAGACCTTCATCAGGTCTAATGTTCAGGAGTACAGTTGAAAAAATAAAAAGAGTAAACTGTTGAAATACAAACATTGCTGCTGTTGCTGTGCCAATATTTGCTGCAAAGGTCTGAATATTTGAAATTCAGTGTCCTTGAGAGACTGTCCAAAAATGATTGGGGGGTTTGCGGTAGGTTCGTTGCTAAATTTAAAGCAAATAAAAATGAAATAAGATAAAAAAAGATTTTTCTCAATACAGTTAAATAGACTAGACTGCTGTTCGTCCCATTCCGGCTGGCCAATAACTTTCCGATTTACAGCATTTCATGTCCTCTTGCTGGTGCTGCTGTCATTCCATTAATCAAACAATATTTAGATTAAATGTCCTTATGCTTTGTTCACGTGTCAGTAGAAATGCACTGGCAGATTAGAAGAATTTTCACCTCTGGGTCACACTTTTGACAAGGAACGCGTCAGTACCGCTACCCGCCGCTAGATGGCGCCGCACCCCTCAGAATGCCTCTCAATACGCAGCCCCCTTCTCTCCCTGTGCACCCCGATGACAAGGAGTAATATCGACAGTGTTTCAAATCAATATTTTTCATTATTTGAGGTTCAGACGCATCGGCAAAGGAATATTGTCTCCACCGGAGTTCATTGTGATGTATAACGCGGTCGAGAGGGGAGAAAAACAGAGACGCGGATGAAAGCTTCTATTTCCTGTGGTTTTTGGCAATGTTGTGCTCCCGGTCTACAGTTGTTGTTGAAATCACTCCAGTGGCTAAATGTAAAAATAAAACACACTGTATCCAATACACAATATCTGTTAAATTGAGTGCAGTGTATCAATTCGGCGTGATTCAACATTCTAATCCACATGATAAATGTCAAATTCACGTAAAGTCGTTGGCGGTGGAAATGCTTTAAACAGAAATATTGCTTCCAGTGCAACAGATTGAATAACCGTCCAATGCCTCATCGCTTCACTAGGTGGCGTCATGTTGCAGTTGCAGTGTGTGTGTGTGTGTGTGTGTGTGTTTGTGTCTGAGAACAGCTGTGACTGCCACCTGTGAGGTGAAGCTGAGGCTGACCTGCGACACGTGCTCCTCTTTAGTGTGTGTGTGTGTGTGTGTGTGTGTGTGATACGGCTGGACAGACAGACTACAGTATCTTGGGGACCAGATCTTTATGAATAATTACTCGAATTCTGGTTTAAAAAGGAATCAGAAAAGCAAATGTAACCCGAGAGATGAAAATGAAAGAGGGCCCACAGCAAACAGACATTATTTATTTGTGTAGGATTTCAACGTGTCAGTAAACCACTTCATGTGTTCCAGATGTAGCCCCGCTTCCAGCAGTTGGTTTTTTTCAGCAGCCACTTTTGACAGATTGTGTTTGCTTCACACACACGGGCGTGAAAAAGCTGGACAAAGACAATTTGCACATAGCGTTGAGGCCTAGTTACATTACATTTTGCATGTGAATATTTTATCTGTCTCCTCACTCCGGGTCATTTAAATATCAAAGTTTCACAGGGTGAGCTGCCCCTTCGTTTATGTGCTTGTGCGACTGATCGTAGTGTGTTTTGAAAAGAGTGTTTCATGCAGTTGAAAACTGAGTCAGAGTCTGAGAAATAGCTAATGGTTTTGAAGATTTGGCATGTAGTTTTGCACTTTGAGTCGGAGGTTTCAGAAATCGTGTGACATGAAAATATTTTGTGTGTAAGGAGTTGGTAAAAACTGTATAAAATACTTCACTTCGGACATACACCTGCTGTGCCTTCTATTCTACCTGCTGCACATTTTCAATGTTCTTGTACCTCGGCATTGTTCCACGAGCGGGGTGAACTTCCCAGAAATGCATACTAGAAATCAAGTGAAAACATGTATGTATGCGTGTTTAAGTGACATTGTTTCAGGTGTTGGTGTGTAAACTCATTTGGCAACAAGAGGCATGTGACTTTTGAATCACATATCTTGCCAACACTTTTTTTGTGTATGGATGCATTAAAAGTCACCTTAATTAGATTTTTTTTAATTGCCCAACCTGTTTATTTGCCATTCACAAGATCTTTCTATGACGATACCATAGCTTTAAAACGCAAATGATTGCTGCATTGAACTAAATCCAGCGTTGTGTTACACGCAGATTGTCGTTGGTGGTTCCGGTCTGGCTTACAAACTACACGACTATTGTCTCTTCGGCCACCTACAACCGCGCTAATAAGTGTCCCGGGGAGCAATTACAACTTTTATTCCTTTACAGTTCACGCGTGGACACAATAGTTGTGCATCAATAAGAAAAGGAAAAGTGACTTCGAACATCCGTAGGGCTGATGCAACGCCGCTAACAGCGAACTAAACGAAGCAGACTTTAACTGCTGCGAGTAAAGACAACAAGGTGGGCGATGCCTTCTGGGGTTAAATTGACCCCCCCCCCCCGGTTAGTGGGTCGATAATCAAGGCTGTTGTTGTTTGTGATCTTCGGGGTAAAAGTCTGACCCGACGAATCAGCGAAACACACGTTTGAGTTTGCCGAGACCGAAAGTAGCAAAACAAGGGTGTCCAAGGTCATCGCCTCTAAACTCACGGAAACGCGCGGAGGTCGGATACGACTTCAGGGACTGAAACAGGACCAAAGGGATTTGAATCCACCGAGTTTCAACGATTGAGCAAACTAGCCACAGTTCATGCTTGAATGAACTGAATGAAGAAATAAAGGCGGGAAACAGATGAACATTGCTATGTTACCAAAGGATTATGCTAAGTGGTATTATCACATTAAGGGCTGATTATGCGGCGCACTTTCACTCACGCCACGGGAAACACACATGCACTCATAGTTAATTTAACAAACAACACTGTTACAAAAAACAATGTCTGTGAAGAGCACAAACGGTGAAAAGGGAGGGAAAAAATGCTAAATGTGTCACGCAGGACTGCTGCGCTCGGTTTCTCGGCTTCGCGGTGGGAGATTTGAATGTAACACTGAAAACACACACACACACACACACACACACGGGAATACTTAACCACACCCGCCCACTTAACAAATTTATTTATGTACAGCTCAGCTAAAACTGAACACACTGACGTTGCCCCTCCTGCCTCTTTCTCTTCCTCCTCCTGCGTCTTTCTCTTGCAGGTCATGGTGGATAGTGGAGAGATAAATATCGGCGGCAATAAAAGCCCTGCATCATGAATAATAAAACAGCCGTAATCTCGACCAATGATTTATACATCTACAGGCTCTCGTTACTACACACACACACACACACACACACACACACACACACACAAACACAAACGCATGCACATGCACAGCAGTAAGTCACACGTTGAGCACGGTTAAATTGAGATGAATGGTGATGCAAAATGTGCGACCGGTTTTGGACACACACCCAAATAGTCACTTACCCATTTGAAGACACACAAAAACACACGCACACACACACACACACACACACACACACACACACAGACAGACGGCCGCCCACACGAGCTAAAGAAGAATACGAGAGATTCATGCTGAAAATATGGAGACGTGGCAAAACACACACTCGGCGGGTGAGACAACAGAGAGGAGGAAGAGGGAACAGAACTCGAAAAACAGCATGGGGGCGTGACGGGGAGGAGGAGGAATAACGCCTTCAGGGGCAAATAGTCCGGGGCGCCGCTGACATGGGGGGGGACAAGAGGCCACCAAAAACTGACCGAGGAATGATTGACTTGTCATGTGACTTTGTGGTCGAGATGCTCCCCCTCCCCCCCCCCCCGTCCCCGTCCCACTGGAAGGGGAAGACGCAGGGCAAGACGAGTTGTCGACTAAACGCTTCCAGCTCAACATCTGGATCGGGATGCAGGTTCGTTTCCTTTTGGCCACATGAGGGCAGCAGAAACAAACTGCAGTCGGCGCTCTACCGATCCTGCAGACGCAAAGGAACATTTGCATTCGTTTGGAGTCGCGTTGACCTTGGCCTGATGAATGCAGATCAGACGTTCACTCTCCTTTTGGTAGCGGTGTCTCTCGGCCAACCCCTGAGGGAAATATCCGGCTCTTTACCAGCTAAATGCTCCACTGTGTGCTCACCGCCCTGCCGACGACTTGGTCGGTCCTTCGCTTGGTGCTCGGCAGGTTCAGTTGACGGGTGACCGTTACCTAACCGGGAAAGAACAATCGGCTGAACGCTGCCAAAAGGCCCCATGGAGCTTGAGGGGGAACTGCAGCCGGATGATGATTCTATCGTCGGTTGATCACTTCAAAGTAAACTGATTCTGCAGGGGGGATTTCCCGGGACACACTGAGCTCCTCTACGGCCTCCTCTCTCTCTGCCTCTGTATGAATTCATTCGTCTCATTAATGCACATCACTAATTCAGCTTCTTCCCCCGGAGTCGTTGTGCTTACTCGCCTCACCGGTTTCCATGGACCCTGGTTGTATCTGGACCCTGGTCGTGCCTCCTGCCACGGCTCTGCGGACACCTGCTGGTGCTATGATCATTATTATTATTGTTAGTCATGTTACCATTACCGCCATCACCAACGTTACTGATTTTTCTTCTTTCCTGAAGTGCTTTTCCTCCTCACAGGCTTCTGTGATGGTGGTTCTGTTAGTGGTTATACATGATGGTGGTTCAGTTAGTGGTTATATGTGATGGTGGTTCTGTTAGTGGTTATATGTGAATGTGGTTCTGTTAGTGGTTATATGAGATGGTGGTTCAGTTAGTGGTTATATGTGATGGTGGTTCTATTAGTGGTTATATGTGATGGTGGTTCTGTTAGTGAATATATGTGATGGTGGTTCTGTTAGTGGTTATACATGATGGTGGTTCTATTAGTGGTTATATGTGATGGTGGTTCTGTTAGTGGTTATATGTGAATGTGGTTCTGTTAGTGGTTACATGTGATGGTTGTTCTGTTAGTGGCTATATGAGATGGCGGTTCTAGTAGTGGTTATATGTGATGGTGGTTCTGTTAGTGGTTAGATGTGATGGTGGTTCTGTTAGTGGTTAGATGTGATGGTGGTTCTGTTAGTGGTTATATGAGATGGTGGTTCTGTTAGTGGTTATACGTGATGGTGGTTCTGTTAGTGGTTATACATGATGGTGGTTCTGTTAGTGGTTATACATGATGGTGGTTCTGTTAGTGGTTATACATGATGGTGGTTCTGTTAGTGGTTATATGTGAATGTGGTTCTGTTAGTGGTTATATGAGATGGTGGTTCCATTTTTGATTTGATTCTAAATGAGGTTTAAGGTTGTACCTGAGTGAAGATCTAAATGGTGTCTCAAAGCCATCTGAACACCACCAGGTCTGAAACTGTAAAAAAGAATCATTCATGTCATCAATGTAATTTATTGAAATGAGTAAAAATGAAATGTATCAACTCGTATAAACTCTAATTATATTCACATTTGTCAGTGTAATCCAATAATACGGTTATATTTTGTGTGGTTTAAATGTTTTCATTTGATAGTTATTAAATAACCTTCCTTCAATAATTGAAGCAATAAAAAATATGAATGTATTATATAATATGATCTATTCTGTCATTATATTGTATTGTCTATAATGCTTAATCTTTATTAAATCTATATTTTTTAATGAATCACTTACATTGTGGTGTCGTAATTGTTACCTACTTGCCAGATTGCAAAAGCTCTTCCACCACTGGTGATCGATGATGTAGCTGATGCAGCTACCTGGACTAAATGAGTCTGGATCATAAGATCTCTGCCTTGGTGCGATGAAGTTACTGGGATTGTTATTTCAGGCGTACGTAACTTTCAGCTCGACTTAAGCATTTCTTTCTAGATTTTAAAACAAAATCTCACAGACACATCTGACTTAAATCAATTGTTATCTATTTAGATAATAGTATCCAACAGCTGATCCAGAGTCAGTATTGCAGCTGTATGTCAGGTGCATCTCTTGTGAATGCATGTTTGTGTGATTTAAAGATTATTAGAGAAAGAGAGAGAAAGACAACATGGATGCACGTTATATTTTCTATTAATTCCAAAACACCCTGATCTTCACCAACATAGTACTTAGCTGGCGCTCTCTGTTTAATATCACAAGTGTTGCGAAAGACACACACACACACACACACACACACACACCGAGCTCTATTTCCCATTTAAAGGATTTGAAATAAAACCAAATTTTAAAGGATCAAAACAAAGAAACACAAGACAAATTGCGGCACCATTTAACAAGCCTCGTAAAATGTAAACTGTCGATTGTCAGAGTGAAACGTCCTCTCAAAGACTCCGGATGGAACATCAGCTCGTGTTTGTGTTTCACTTCAGCGTGAATAATGACTTCCTGGATCCTCCGACCTGCGAATGGTCGAACAACCGTTTGGTACGACTTGGCAGAGTATTTTTTTACGCACCGTTGGTCTGATTTTTACGGAAGGATGGTGTTTTTTGGAGATGAAAAAATAAATCGAAAAACAAAGAAAACCCGTCCTCGGTTGAAAGAATGATTTTGTTTTCATCTTGGGCAAATTTGTTTGTCTCGATACACGCTGCACACAAACTCCAACTGTCACATGTGGCTGTTTCACGTTCATATCTGTCAATATTTTGTTAATAGCAGACTGTAAAACAACCACAATAAGAGAATATGAGGATATTTACTATTTGTCAAGAACTAAAACATATTTATTTTAAGAGTCTCAAAGAAATAATGAATGATGAGATTATGTCATCCTGAAATATGTCCTTCTGTTTTAAATTGATTTGGAGGTTTTGTTAAAAGAACATATGATATTAATTAATCATGACGTATCTAATTAGATACAAATAGAATATTCTGTGTGCTGATGGAGGCCGTAAGAATAATCTAATAAATGGTCCTTGAGTTTTGGTAAAACCGAACTTAACTGCTCGACATAGAAGTCTTGACAAACAGTATTTTGGGGTATAATCATGTTTTATTATGAAACCTATGGAGGGAGAGTAATTAATTCATTGCTAAAATATTACTAAACATTTATATCACACAAAACACACAAATATCCATGACTGTGCGGCACAAAGTATGTGTATTCACTGCGCAACATGTGAATACTAATGAAACGTGTCACCAGTTTGGTGTGATGTTAAAATAAATCCAGCACATCTTGTTAAAGAGAACAATGACAAATGAAGAACATTGACCTTTCAAGTAACCTTGCAACAACCATACAGCGGCTTTGTGACGCTGAAGCTGACGAAGTTCTAATTGCCTCAGACTCTTGATAGAAGCAACAGGAATCCTGTGAAGCTAAATCACCAGCAGGCATGCAGCAAAAACACAGTATTGATGATTAAAGCCATTTTGACTTCATGTTTGGCTGCAGCTTCCCTTTGATGATGCGTTTCGGTTCTTCGCTTGCCAAAAATAGCCCGATAAAGCAAATTTGCTTCTACCTCAAATCACACAAATTGTTTCTTGCATTAGGGCCCCGGTAAGATCATTTTCTTAAGCTGGGTGAGAAATGACAGCTCCTTTTCATTCTCACCCACTCCCGGCCTTTATGCCGCATGCCTTCCTTCTCGCCCTCTCCTCCTTTACCTCCTCACGCGCTGGAAGGAGACAAGAAAAGAGGCATTAGTGCAAACAGACAGGGGAGAAATGGTAGCGACGTGACAGGAAAATACAGAAATGAATAACGCGGGAGGAGAAACTCGAAATCAACGTGTTCACCCCTCAAACCTGCATTAATGGTCGTACCGAATACAAAAATCAGCTGAGCTGACACCAATTTGCCCCATTCCTTCATCTTGTGCCCCTCCCAGTCTGCTTTTTTCCTTTCTGCTCTTCTTGAATTCTCTGCCGGGCCAACGGAAAGAAGCACATTCATGCATCTCCTCCTCCTCCTCCTCCTCCTCCGACCTGCTGCCGAATCGTCTCGAGGACATCCTCCCGTTCTCCTGCCTTGGCGTTCTCTCCTCCACCTTGTCTTTCTCGTTCTAACCTTCTCGATTTTTTCACCCCCCCCTTTGTTTTTCCACTCTTCATTTTCTCTCTAGCCCAGCATTCTCTTTTCCCTCCTCCTCCTCCTCCTCCTCCTTCTTCCCTCCCACTGGGCGATTCCATTGCAGACATGCTTGTTCGGTGCTACAACACATTTAGGGCCCTGCCACCGAAGCCACCAGGTAATTGAAGCTGGAGCCAGAACCAGCAGAGAGAACATGCGACAGGGGGGCCATAAATGTGCGTGTGTGTGTGTGTGTGTGTGTCTGTGTGTCGAAGTGAGACGGAGGTAGGGACACAAACTAACCACAGGTGTTGTTGAGCATATCAAGGCTGCCACGGTGTGCCGACGTGCTTTTCACACTAACCGCATCGCTCAGGAGAAGGAAGTTAAATGAAAAGAGGCCGACAGCGTCACACAGACGCCGCGGACGCGTCGGGGGGAGAAAAAGCGCGACAACAATAAGTTCAAATTAAAGCTACACGACAAACACAAGCTCACACAGTCATTTTCTGCGATGATTGTTTAACAGAGATGTCATTAAAGTTGGAGATTGATTATCAGTTGGAAGCCCGATCCCTTATCTGGATTATTGTTGTTTTTAAAATGGACTTTTGCAATACTGGATAACTAAGACATTCTGAAATAAATGTTTATGTTATTGCATACAGATAAAATATATATATCAAAAGCATGACATTTAGAAATTTTAATGTGAATTTTATTGACTTTTATTGAGTATTTATAGTATTTTGTATAATAAATAAAATAGGAAGTATGTTTCCATGTGGTGTTATTTTTTTTATAGCGCCTCCTCAAATAATTTCTGTCAATCAATATCAAGAAAAAGATAAAATGATGTTTCTGGTTGTTGTTTCAACAGAAAATCCAATTTCATAATATTGAGCTGAGTTTGATTGGATTATTTTACATTTTACTGGTTGGATTATATCATGTGTCACTATTTTTTTCCCATTTTTGTGAAATTTTAACGTCTTGTTCATCATTATTATTCATCTAAACTGAATTTGTTTGGCCTCTACAATAATAGCAATAATGAATAATAAGACATTATTTGAACAATTATGACATTTTAAGTATAAGAAGTGGTTTTCTTATGCTAATGAGGTATTTTCATGAAGAAGTCTTTACTGCAGTTGCATATATGTATGTTACAACAAATATTAATGGAAAGAATATGCAACACAACGCACTTTATTTCTTGAAAAAAAAAAGTATTGTAGAGACGCAGTACTGTTGTACTCTGCACATATATCAATGACTACAATCCTTTGAATTAGTTCAAGAATCCAAAACAAGTGGATTGCAAAACAATCTGTCAGCCAGATGTTTTACTGTAAATTGCCTTTTTTTCTTTTGTTTAAGAAATGAAAGCAACTCGAGTAGAAGACTTCAAATTCCACAGAGGAGAAACACATTTCAACCACTCAGAAGAACCCAACATAAAGAGCAGCAAACACAAATATGTGGTTATAACTCATCAAAACACCTCCTCTCTCCTCTCCGTCAACTCTCCTCATCCACACCTTTTCCCCCGTCTCCCTCCCTCTCTCCCTCCTTTGCTCTCCTCCTCCCTCCTCTCTTCTAATGCGTCCATCTTTCTCTCGCTACTCAGCGCAGTAGGAGAGAGCTGCATGAAGCTCATTAAGTAAAGACCTACAGACCTCTGTGTTGTGTGTGTGTGTGTCTGACTGTCTGGTTTCTCTTTCCGCATTAAGAATTTCTGACAAAAAACGGCTCATATTGTGTGTTTGCTGCAGGATGTTCAGGATGATATCAGGCGAACTATGTTACAAGGAATTGATGATTGATGTATAAAAATATGTATTTAAGTTTCTTAGATGGAAGACTTCATTTAGTTACAAAACATCTGTTTCACACCTGTTCAATATAACGGTTTAGGGATGCGACGTGTCTCGGCCTTGCTCAACTTTTACTTAAAAAATCCTTTCTAGTGAGAATATTCCAGGAAGATTTCCATGTAAATGCACATATAACGTCCTGTGTTAGATCCATGGATAAATACATTGAACCACATAACATCTGAAAGACGTTTCAAAATGAAAACGGCATCCTGCATGACGTGTCTCTCTGACCTGGCCGGGACAAATCAGGACGACCATAACCCGAAACACGGTGTTCCACCTCTTTCAGCAACAGGTCAACTTAAATCCGGATGAAAACCGCAACACAAAATAAGTATCTTCACACCACTACTGACACACATTGTCTTTAACGTCACATAAATCTCTTGTTCGGGTCCCTGGCTTCGTCTCCTCGGTCTCCCACACCGGCTCCATCAGGGCGATCAGGCCCCTCCCGTCCAGCCGTGCAGCAGCTTTGACCACGGCTGCCTTGATCTCTGTGGGAATTGTAGTTAACCAGATGCAACGATGGGTTGTATGACATCGCAAAACGTAGACCTCCGGGTCCTAAAAAGGTCTGTTCTGGAGGAGCTTAACTGTCACAGTTAACGAAGAAGAGAAATCGAGTGGTTTAATCCGAAAGATTATTGTCTGAGATGTTCTGTGAGTCAGTCAGTCGTCGTCAAAAGCCCGATTATCTTCCATAGAGGGGATATCTTCAACTACGGGCAACTTAGAGTCACCAATCAACCTGATCCCAGCTCATGTCTTTGACTCCACACAGAAGGGACCACCGAGTGAAATGGAACCCAGGACCTTCCTGCTGTGAGGCGACAGCATCGTGCCGCCCGTCTGTGAGAACCGAAAATCTCTAAATAACACTATCAAGGGCTCCGGAGGTTATCGTTTCATCAACAATGGAACCTTCATTCAGTAGTTGCCTCTTCGATTTGGTGCATCACGTGGCATCAGTGGTCAAGTGGGTTTTATAGTTCCTGTTCATGTTTAATAAAAAGGGCAAATGCAGTCAGAATTCCACACCCTGAAGGCCCACCTTTCTTTACAAAGGGTGCACTACTTCCTGAAAGTTCATATGAACACTGAGGTACTTTTTGTACTTAAAAAAATGTGTCTTAGACCATTACATGAATAATGCATGAAATGTTTGGTGACCAGAAGGTTTATGACTTTTGTAACTGATATTCGTATCCAGGGTGGGAACCGGCCCCAGACCGGGCAGGAGAGATTACATCTCCACGCTGGCCTGGGGACACTTTGGGATCCCCCAGGCAACGCGGGTGGAATTGGCCCGGGAAAAGGGACGTTTTGGGTCCTGCAACCTGACCACCGAGCGGGACGATATAATTAGAAGACAACGTAAGCATTTTAAAATATCTCTATTTTTAAACACCACAACTATGATCAAAACACATGAACAGTGCACCTCAGCGGAGGTTTCAAAATGTAACCCTGTGTGCAACGTGCTATCTGCAACTGAAGAGCAGCTAGAGTTCTGCAGCCAAAATGAGCGATGGCAATGGAGATGCAGGCAGTGCAGCATCTGTCCAATCATATAGTCTCATTTCATTAATCCCGCCTTTTCATGCGAGCGTTTCAGTGTTTATGTGTGAGGGGGTTTTTGCTGTACTCCTTGTTTGTTCACCTCCTTGTGTGTGTGTGGGGGGGGGGGGGGGGGTGGTGGTGTTGGTGGTGCATCTAGCAGCTTGGGGTGGGGCAGTGTCTACGTAAGAAGCTAAGCTGACAGAGATGGACCACTTCCCTTACCTGACAGGATGGTTCCATCCATAATGATGTTATACACACACACACACACACACACACACACACACACACACACACACAGATACACGACACATGCTCGCCAACACCGCAGCTGGCAGACAAACAAAGACAAATGTACGCACACACTAGTGTCCCCGAGAAGGTCTGTTATTGACAATAACAGACCTTATTTACACGATATTCACACATTCAACGGCATCACGACATCTGGCAGTTGCAGACATTGGCGTGTCCATATGAAGTGTGTACAGCAACACCATTTATATGTTAACACGTTGGCACATACGTTCGTTAACCACGTAATGCAGGGACCTGCAAGGCCTCAGTTCATTTTTTTTCCTCCCCTACTATTAAATGGAGGGCGAGACCATAATTAATGGCAATCCATAGGAGTAGGAATTTCCACCGGCCGCTGCAGATTGTCTTGTTACATGTGATTATTAGCTGCTCCGCCCTGTAGCTAAATGCAGGAGAGTCCGATTGCACACATTAAACACTGTAACTACATCATAACCTGCATTTAGGTAAAATAAGAACATTTTTTTTTAAATGTGCATTTGTCAAATTTGTCAAAAAAAAAGCTTCATTCAATGAAAAAAGTTGTCAAAGTTGTCAAGCCCAAACATGGATGACTCAAAGAGACTTGTTCATCACTGTGTACTTTTACTCCAACCGGCCCTCAATTATAAATATCTCATCATAAATAAAACGCATAATGATACGACTACTGCTGCTGACCTGTTGTCTACGGAGCAGCACGAGTCACCTCGATAACAAGAGAACCTCCGTCAGGGTCAAACCGGAAGGAAACCTTGCAAACCCCAAACCCTCAGGGTGTGTGTGTGTGTGTGTGTGTGCGATCTTAACCTCTGACCCAGTGGATGGAAAAGCGTCCTCTCCCCCCCGACGCTGCCTCGCCCAGTTTGTTTTCCGTCGTCTTTTCTCCGCTTCGTCTCCTCGTCTCCCCGCCCTCGCCCTTCCACACTTTCATCTGCTGCCATTCCTACGCTTCCTTTCATCCCCCACCGCGTTCTCACTCTCAACCTCCCGTCATTACTTTCTCTATTTGTTGAACTGTCGAACTTCGCACCCCCCCCCCCCCCCCCCGGGGCTCGGTTTCTCTCTTTTTCCCCCCGGGGCTCCCCCGCGGCTGTTTTCCTCCCTCTTCCTCCCAAACCCATCAACGTGTCCCCGCCCCGGGTTTCCGGGCTGTGTCATATTTGGAAAGTCAAAATAGCGGTCGCCGGCATGCCAAAATAAGACCACGGGGGTCGCCTCTCACAGGTTGCACTCTCACTTCTCATAAAGACAAAATAAAAGAGACACAGAGAGAGAGAGAGAGAGAGAGAGAGAGAGGGGGGG